CGGGCGGCGCGGAAGGTTCTCCCGCGCCTCCGCCTACGACTGTGCCACCGCCTTCCCCCACATCCCCCGCGGGCCCCCACGCCGCTTCGACGATGTCGTCTGCGAGTCCCGCTACTCTGACATCGAGCCCTCCACGGAGGGGGAGGTGAGGCCCTGGAGGCACCGCAGGATGGTCGAGGGACCCCTTGCTCTCCCCTCACTACCCTGCCTTCCCCTCCAGGTGATCTACCGGGTGCTGGACCCTGCCATCCCCATCCGGGACCCCTACAGCCCCTCCATCCAGAGTGAGTCGCTCAAGCCGGGCTCCCGCCTGGCTGCTCTATTTTGGGCTCAGCTATTTTCGCTGCTCTCTCCCTCCTCTGAGCCCCACGGTGGGGTCAGGGCCAGGTCCAGCCTGCGGAGGCTCAGGCCCCTCCTGCATTCCCCCTCCCTGTGTGAGCAGCTAAAGTTCGGGCTGCATCGAGGCGAGGAGAGGGCAATGGCTGTACCAGAGCCATGCCAGAGCTGAGCCCAGTGCTGAGCAGTGGCTGCGTTGCAGGATGGTTCTGGTGATGGGCAGAGAAGTTGGGCTGGGCGCAGGATGCAGTGGGTTAATCACCCAGGGCTAAATTTAGGCTGGGAGCAGGAGAGGAGGAATCTGCAGGGCAGGGCTGCTGGGAAGCTGCAGTCTCAGGGGAGCCATCCTATCCTGCTGGGGGGCCCCCAGGCTGCTCCCACCAGACACAGCCATCCTCCAGGCACAGCCCAAACACCCAGAAAGCTGCCCTAAGCCCTGGGTGTTCTGCACTGGTGGGGTCCCAGCCAGCATCTGCTGGGGGGCCTGCGTAGCCCTGGTGACTGAGCACCTTGTGCAATGGGAACCAAGCCACTGCAGCTGCCTACAGCCCAGCCTGGCCACATGCAACCATGTGTGCATGAACCAAACCACGGGCAGCCCCGTGGTGCACAGGTGAAGTGAACCATGTCTGGCTCTGCTGAGCTACCCACCTCCCCCATGGCCATGCCAACATGGGTCTCTCCCTGCCCAGATTTGCTGCGTGTCACCAACCTACGGGTGAACCTCACCAAGCTGCACACACTGGGGGACAACCTCCTGGACTCACGGCGGGAGATCCGGGAAAAGTACTACTATGCACTCTACGAGCTGGTGATGCGTGGGAACTGCTTCTGCTACGGGCACGCCTCTGAGTGTGCCCCACTCGCCGGGGCCACGGCCACCACTGACGGCATGGTATGGCCAGCTGGCCTGCCGTGTCCTGCTGGAGCTGAGTAGCTGTACTGCAGGCTCCTGCAGCCCCACACCATGATGTCCCGGCAGGTCCATGGGCGCTGCGTCTGCAAGCACCACACACAGGGGCTGAACTGTGAGCGCTGTGAGGACTTCTACCATGACCTGCCCTGGCGCCCAGCCAAGGGCTCCAGCACCAATGCCTGCCGCCGTGAGTGCCCAGCACTGGCTCCTGGCACAGAGATGCCAGTGCTGGGGCTGACAGGCTGTGCCATGCCTGGGGTTTTGGGGTACTGTATGCTGGGATGTGATTTAGTGGGGACTGGCATCCAGCAGGCTGGCACTGCTTTGGGTTTGGGGTGCTGCTAGCTGGCGTTTGGGGTGCTACATACTGAGATGAGGGCTCAGGGCTGTCTGAGGAGGTTTGGCACTGGGGGTGCTGCCGGGCGGGGGATGGGGGTGCCGCATCCCCTGCCATGGTGCCATCCCCTCAGGCTGCGACTGCAATGAGCACTCACGGCGGTGCCACTTTGACATGGCTGGCTTTCTGTTCACCGGGGACAACAACGGG